ATTATATATAAAAAATTTATATTTTAATATTAATTAGTGAGAAATGAAAATACCACAAAAAATAAAGATGAGGTAAAATTTGCTCCTTCGTTAAAAATGCTCGCAAGAATCCTCGTCCTGGTCATCCTTGGAACGAAAATGAAAAGAGACTTCTCAACCCTGTGAGCCCCATTGATATTTCCATTTAAAAACTTTAGTTTTTATTTTCTCGTACCAGAATCCCATGTGTTTTTACTCTTTTTTTTCTTTTTTTTTTTGGCTACAAGATGAAGAATGGGGAAGAAAATGTCAATCCACCGTTAATAGACCCCATTCGTTGCTAATATGGCAATTATTTAAATAAAAAATGATTGAAAAATAATATTTTATTTTATTAAGGCTTGTAAAAATTATATATATTATTTCATTTAATAACGTACCCAAAATTATAAAATAAAATTATACGGTATAAAAAGTATTTTTTATATATTACTGTTATTTATGTAAACTTTTCAATTCAGTAAAAAATGACCCCACATCTTGTCCAAACAGAAAAAAAAAAAAGGAACCCCACGTTAACATTGGAGGACCGTCTAGGTAAAACATGACTCTTAACAGAGAAAATTAAAGATGAAATCCTCAATTAGAAGTAGACGAAACTTGAAGTCCCGACTTGTTAGATTGCTAGTTACTTTCGGAGAAAACTGGCCTTGATTGTTGTGCAGAATTACTGTGGACTCACGTGGAAAAAGGTTCGTCGGTGTTTGACTCGCCAGGAAAAACTGAGTAACCTCGTCCGTATCGGTTATGAATCAGGGATAGTCCGATCATGATTATGTAAACACATGGCCCATGATTTGGGTGCGCTGTAAGAACTAGATCCACAGATTTGGTGCATTCTGCATTAAGCAGTACGGCGTTTGATGCGGTAAATTCAGGCTGATCTCCACCACCACAAAGCAATTTGTTGGATACGTTATTACGGCATCTCTAATAGGGATCTCTTGCCCCCCTACAGGCTTTGTCTTTTGTAAGACGTCTTAAATAGGACAAGGCAAGTGGCACTTTTTTTTTTTTTTTTTTTTGTGTGTAACGGAAAGTGGCATTATTATTTATAAATTTTTAATTTTATTATTATTGAAATAAAAATCTTGATACTTTAGGGCCCAAGTTTGAATCATATTATTAAATGTTGTTTAATTTTATGTTAGCTTGTGAATACTTAACATGAGCTTTTATAGACAATTGGCGTAAACGTTTCACTAATTCTGCGTTATTTATTTTAAATTTTCAATGATTAATACAATATTTAAAATTTTCAAGGTCTCCTAAATTTTAAAACATATTACTAAAAATTAATATAATAGTTTTTCAAACGACTTATATCATTACAAGTTGATTTATTCAAAATGGCCTACTTCTAACTTCCCTTGAAAGTTCCAAAAATCATGTAAAAGTGTATCATATGGTTTGGATTACATTAAATTGTATGAATTAAAGTATTAAATGAAAAATAAATCTTATATTATCAGGAATTGCTCCTATCTAATAGTTCATATTTTGTATTTGGATACTATCTAGTTTGTAAAACATAAAACTTTTACTAATGTTGTACAACAAAATTGTAATTTTCAATTCTAATGTACAGTTGTCAATGATGCTGAAAGTTTAATGATAATTTTTTTTAATAAAAATAAACACAAAGTTACATATACACATAACATTTGAATAAAAATGATTATTTTTTATTATAGAATTCAAATATAGGAAATTAATAAATCTCATTTATATGCTAGTAATTCTTTAAGGAAACTCTGAGGAACGTCTGGAAGACTGGGACTATACTTTTTTTCTTGATCTAAAATGGAAAATCAAGAACTCTATCACATAAAATACTTATATAAACTTTAAACTATAATAAAAAGGACAAAAAAACTTTCAATAATTTAGGAATTGAAGTTATATATTTTTATTGTTATGAAATAAGGACAATTTTTTCATTAATTGGAAATATAAATAATTTGGATAGAAATTAGACACTTAATCTCACGTTAAATTGTAAATTAAAGTAAAAAAATCTTATTTCACATCACGCAATCATCAAATTGACTGTTAAATTAATAATTTGATTAGAAAGGCAGATTTTCACTACAAGAAAAATGGTTTTTAGTGACAGAAATTTGTAATGAATTTTAAAATCATCACTATATCTAATCACAATTGTGACAGATCTAAAAAATTAGTCATAAATGCATACATATTTAATGAAAAACAAAAAAATTCATCATAAAAAATATATTTTATTATCGAAAAATGTTAATAGAGATAAAAT